GGGTTAAATAACCTAGAGCAGCCTTGGTGTGTTATCCAGTAACCCCCATTAGGTCTGAGAAACTCCACTACTTCACCCACCATCAGAGGCTACCCACTGCCCCACGCAATTGGGATCTCCCTGCAAACCCCAGCAGTCTTTACCATAAGGCTGGCTTTGACCCTGCGGTATCTACAATTACGGGTTAGCCTCCTCCCCCAACCCCCTAGATATTGCAGTTGGCTCTGGCAGGTTGCAGACTCCACTGGGGTTTCAGCAGAGAAGGACCTGTCCCCTCCCGGGGTGCTAACCCTCTGCTAGATTGCCCTTCCCCATTGCATAGGGGTCAAGAGTTGCCTCTGGGCCGGGACGACCGCCAGGGCAAAGGGGGCGGGGGCAGAAGCCGCCCCCAGGGCGCGAAGGAGAAAAGTTAGAGGGTTGAACAGGTAAAGATGAGCTTCTCCGTGCGTGTGTGCTCTATAGCGCAAGGGCGCCGAGTTCGGCCGCCTCATCTCCCGCCATCTGCGCGCCTGGGGCACGTCCTCTGTTGTAGCCTGGAAGCTGGACCGCCAGTGCTGGCCAGGTCCGGACTCGGTGCCCAGGTGGCTTGGGTTGGTAATGTCTGCCTCTTGCCAACTCCTCAGTCCCGCTACCTCGCGGATCAGGTATGCAGCGCTCCAGGAGCAGGTCTGGACAAGCCGGACACCTGGACTCACCCCTAGCAACCCTTTCTCTCCGGGGAAAGGACACGCCCCCCAGCCCGGACACTTGTCCCCAGGTCCAGCAGGCCAGGAGCTGCCGAAGACGAGAATCTCGCACCTAGGGGTGCGTTGCCTGAGGTGGCCACGGAGGCAGCGCCGCGAAGCCAGGGCTAGCGCCTGGAGCAAGGGGGTCTGGGGGAGGGTTAGGGCAGGGCGACCCTGGGCTTGGAGAACAAACTTGCTGTCCAAGGGACCCCAGCTCTCGGGACCCCCAGTTATCACCACGTTGCATACAGCTAAAGCGCGGATAAGCGCCACGCGCTGCGCCCGCATTCGCGCCAGGGCGGGGGTCGGGGCAGCGGAGGGGCGCACCGAGGTACAGAAGGAGTAAGCCGCCCGAGTCCGAGGCTCGAATAAGCGAGGACTACTGGATAAGAGTCGTGGCCTGAAGATCCCGACTGGGAGGGCACCCTAGGGTCCCTGGGCCAGCAAGCTACAGGAAGCGGGCGAGGGGCTGGGGGAGGGGTCCAGGGTAGAACTGCGGACCCGCGAGGAAATGAGGGGCTTCGTGGCTACCAACCCACGGACGCGCCCCAAAACAGCAGGCTCCGTTGGCTGGCAGAGCAGTCCCAGGCTGAGCCTCACCCGGATCTTCACTGGGCGCTTGCCCCACCCCGATACACCCGTCCCGGGCTGTGCGCCCGGGTCGGCCCTCGGGCACCTGGAGCCCGCGGAGCACCCCTGCCTTGTGGCGAGCCGCGCGCACCCCGGCTCCGCTGCCTCCGCCGCCCAGCTGCCCGCGCGGGTCTCACCTTTGTGTAAAGAGTCCAGGAGCAGGAGGAAAGTTACCAGCCACATGCCATAAAGAGGCCCTATTCTCCGGGGAGGTGGTCCTGTGGCCGGCCGTGCGGCAGCGCCTCTCCCCCGCTCAGCGCGCTCCCAGCCGCCCGCACTCCGCGCCCCGCTCTCTCTGCTCCTCAGCCCAGCGCTCGGCGGCGGCGGCTCCTCCCTCCTCGGCTCCCCGGCTCCTGTCATCCGCGGGGCTGGGCTAGGCGGCCGCTCTCCCCGCCCCCCCGCGGCACCCCGGGTAGTGAGCGCCTCGAGAGCCCGGAGCCCAGACGGCCCCCATCCCACAAGCCCAGGGGCGGGGGAGTGAGGGCCAGGACCAGATGGCTTCCGACCGGTCTCCACTGTTAGAGAGGCAAGGGGTCCCTGTCACCCACCGGCTCTGAGCCTGTGGTCGCACAGAAGCATGTGTCATACATGTGCCAAGAGCCCACCATGGGCGGGCCAAGGACGCCCCATTTCTCCTGGCCAGTCACATGGCGTCAATGCTTCTAGCCCCCTTTGGACTCAGTTTATCCCTTGGATAGGGGAGCATGACTGCTCAGGGTAAAATCTAGAGTCTTTGGAACCTCTAGGTGCTACTCCCCTCCCCAAAGCTCAAAGCCACATGCCCTTCCAACCTTGGTTACTTCTGCAAGTCAGCCTCCTGGAGAGACTCTGCTCGTCAAGCCCCGCCCCAACGCTCTGTCCAAATTTGCCTCAGTACTTGGCACACTACGACTATTTAAACAATCGTTTGCAATAACAGCTTAACGTCTACTCTGTGCATTTTCCTCTGTTATCGTCACCTGCCCACTCCTCCATAGCTTTCTCACCCTGAAGAAATTGGCTTATTCCTTGCATTGATCTGCATAAAGTTGGCATGGGATAGGAAGGAGTTGAGTGAGGACACCTTTCAGTTACCCATGACTACTCAATATCTGCTGTGTGCAGGCACTGGGTTAGGCACTGGGAACACAGGAACTGAGAGTTGGGGTTGGCAGCGTAAAAGGTTGATGTTGAAAAGCGTTCTTTTGTCTTAACCCCAAAGGTCTGATCTTGATCCAGAAAAGGAGTTCAAGTAGCCCTGACCATAGTCTATATGCCAAGACAGGACTGCACCTGCCGCCATGTCAGGCAGGTCACCCTGAATTGTCCCTGCCACTTGGCTCTACCTGGACATACTTTTGACCCTGTTCTCCGAGGGAAGGAGTGGGAAGAATGGAAGGAGGTAGAGGCTGCTGTTCTGTTCCATTTGACAGAAGAAGACAATTTACTCCCCCAAAATTTCCTAAATTCAAGCAGGAGAACAAGGATTACTTATTCCCAGGTTTTGCCAAAATACTTCTAGACATTTGAACTAAATTTTTGAAAAGTGTGCATTAACTTTTCACATATTTACATATGTATATATGTACATATACACACATACTCACCCCCCCCACACACACACACAAACATAAATAGCTTATAAAATGTACCACTTAGCCATTTTTAAGTGTATCTTCAGTGGCACTACGTGTATCCCCAACATTGCCCGGCCAATATCACTTGCCATTTCCAGAAAGAAACTACACTCATGAAAGAGTAACTCCAGCTTCCCACCTCCCTGAGTTGCTGGAAACCATCATCTATTCCCTGCCTCTGTGGATTTGCCTGTTCTGTTCTAGTACCTAATAATAAATGGAATCATACACTGGCTTATTTCAGTTGGCATATTGTTTTCAAGGTTTATCCATGTTCTAGCATGTGTCAGAATTCCATTCCTTTTTATGGTTGAATAATATTCTATTGTGTATGTATACCGAATTTGTTTAGCCATTCATCCATCAAATGAACACTTGGGTTGCTTCCACCTTTTGGCTATTGTGAATAATGCTGCTATGAACATGAATATATAAATATTTCTCAGGTCCCTGCTTTCAATTCTTTGGGGTATGCACCCGAAGTGCAATTGTTGGATCATATGAGAATTTTATGTTTAACTTTTTGAGGAACTACCAGGCACATTTACTTTTTTAATATAGCATTTTAAGAGCTTAAGGGGCTCTCACCTGCAATTGCTCTGTGTAAGTCACAATATCCTTTGAAGCTCTATTAGCCCCTTTTAAACAGGTAAGAAAATGGAGGCATCGTTCATTCAAGCATGAGTTTGTATCAAAAGTGAGACTTAAACCTATGTCTCCCAACTCCAGAGTAGAGATGCCTACTCCACAAGGTGGGGCCTCTCCGGCAGCTCGGCTCCATGATGCCTAATCACCACTTTGAAAGGAATGCTTTTCACTAGGTCACTTATCATTTATCAACACAGTCATAAAACAGAGACAAAGGGGCCTGTACCAGTCGTTTGAGATGACTCGGCCCAATCCTCTGCTGTACAGACGAGGACACTGCGTCCCAAAGTAAGACACCATAGACCTACGTGAAGTCATGCAAGGGGAGGCAGAGCCCCTTGTCTCCCTTTTTCTGACTCTGCCCCTTTCCTCTGCCACCTTAGCCTGCCACCCCATGCCCCTTCCTTTCCAAAGGAGACGGTCATTGAGAGGAATCCAGTTATTTAAAACTAAGCCTATTGACCCAGAGCACCTGGTCATGCCATGCCTAAAATAAACCGCTAAATCAGACAGGGTGAAAGGGCTGCTGTCTACTGGGAAAGGAGGGGCCTGAGAGAGCCTGGGGGGTATCAGTCCAGCTGCTCTGGCTCTAGGCCCTCACAACAGAGGTGGAGAGGGTGACTCTCTTTTCTCCAGTCACCCGAAGTGCCTCCTATAACCTAAATGTCCCTTTATGCTGGTTACAGTCCACCTGTGTGTTACCTGAAGGATGAATCATCCACTGTGTCAGTGACGACAGTCTGGCTGTCCCGTGAGGAGGAGGCAAGTATTTTGAAGGAGAGGGGAAGACAGGTGAAAGGGCAGACTCAGTGCCTTTCTACAGCAAAAGGAATCTTCATAGCACTGAGGTCAAGAGCGTGGCCCTGGAATTGGAGCTGAGTTCTCACACCAACTGTGCCACTTACGATCAGTTTACCTTGGGAAATTTGGGTGTGCCAAGCCATGTTTCCCTCACCTGTAAAGCTGGGACAGCCCCAGCATCTGCCGCAGAAAAGTGAGGGATCACACAGGACAAGCCCAGTGGCCGGCACACGTCGGGAGCACAGGTACATATCACAGACGTTACTGGCTTTTCTCCCAAGGACCTTGACATGTGTGAGCTGCAGGGAGGGGACAGCTCTTCTGGGGGCATATTGGGATGTCATCCTGTACTCCAGGCTTTGGCAAAACCAGAGCCAAGGAGTTGGGGATCCAGACAAGAGGCTGCAGGAACACGCAAGGTGCTCTTAGAGGCTGGAAGAGCCCGGAGGAGATGATCCACACAGGAAGGGCCTGGTAGCAGACGAGCCTTATGATTTTTGGTGGTTTTTTGTTGTTGTTGTTGTTGTTTTTTTTGTATTTTCCATTTCCTAGATTTGGTCCCTCCTTAATATTTAGGAAAATTTTGAAAACGAACAGCTGGGCTCAGATGTGTTCGGAAGCCTCTTCTTGTCCCCCAGGTACAGGGAGAGGAAGGGGTGCCAGCTAGTATCCCTGGCAGGGAAGTCAAGGAGAAAGTGAAACTCAGGAGAGCAGGGCGGCTGTCCCCGCCCAGCCCTGACGTCTCCTCCACAGCTGACACTTCACAAGAGCTGTGTTTTATTTTGATCAAAGGGACAGTTCCTTCACAATCCCAAATTGGATGGAAACCCTCACACCCACACACAAATATATGCACACCAGAGTGAGAACAAACACAGCCGCCCAGGCACACGTTCCTGTGTACAGGTAAACACAAACACTTAATGGCAGGCACACCTGCGCTGAAATGCGATTTGAATGCAATCCAAAAATTCTGCATCGGCCTCTGCGTATGCCCTGATTTTTTTTTTTTTTCCTTTAAAGCCTCAACTTTGTGGAATTCATTTCTAGGAGGGACACGCCATCCGTTTAAAAGGAGTGATTGGTTTTGTGGCATCAGAATGCCCGATGATGGTCGGGCTTTTTTTTTTCTTTTTTTCTTTTCTGCTTTTGTTTTGTTTTTCGCCAATGCCAGTTGAAGCAGCTACGAGAAGGCCCTGGGAGGTGCGCCCTCTCCAATTCAGGTTAATCACGGATATTTAGGGGGTATTATTTTGCCATGTTACATTAAGACTAGAGCCGTCATGAGAAACAACAGATGTTTTTATTGTTTAACTCAAACAATGAGCTTATATATTTTGGATATTTTTCTTCAAAAAACAAAGGCATGTAACAATTTTAACAAAGTCTTCATATGTGCTTTGAAATTTCTTGACAATTTTTGGTATAAATACGGTTTTCTTTTCTTTTCTTTTCTTTTTCTTTTTTTCAGTACTGGGGATTGAGCCCAGGGGCACTTTACCACTGAGCTACATCCCCAGCCCCTTTTAATTTTAATTTTATTTTTATATGGTTATTTATTTGCTTATATTCTGTCTTCTCCCATTAAAATTGCATGTGACATTAAAGCAGATATTTTCTGTTCACTGTTAAAACTCTAGCACCTAGAACATGCCCCATAGGTAATGGTACTTCATTAAATTAACAAATAATTACAAGTCTGTAAAGGTAACACAACATTAATTTTTTATTTTGAAACTGGGTGTTGCTAAATTGTTGAGATTCTCACTAATTTGCTAAGGCTGACCTTGAATTTGTGGCCCTCCTACTTCTAAATATGGTTTTCATAAAAGGAATCAATACTAACTAGGTTGATCTTAAAAACTTGACATTTGGGGTTATAGAGCTAATTTGAGATTGACCTTCTTTGTATTTATTCATTGATGGATTGGGGAAGAACAAAACCCACTGATTTCCCTGCTTTCTTTGCTTTTTGTAATTAACTTTAATGCTATAGAAAGAGTCCTGGACTATGAATCCAAAATCCTACAACTAGTGTCCTTTGTCATGTGGCTAGTTGTGTGATCCTAGACAAGTAACTGTACCTTTCTGAACCTCAGTTTCCTCACCAATGAAGTGAGAGGGTTGGGGTCAAATGAGCACAAAATTCCCTTCCTAAAGGATGAGGTGGACACAAATACACACATATCTAGGGCCTAGACACATACATGAGTGTCTGTGTACATCCCTGGAGGTGTATGCTTGCTTACTAAT